CCTAAATTAGGCTTATAGGCTTGTAGACCTTGTTTGAACTGGAACGCCAAAGTTTATCATGATGAAGCCCCTCGGGGACTGCGCCTGTCTTAGGTCGTCAGGAGTCACAGACATGAGGCTGGCCAGTGCCTTCTTTAGTCTGCCCCCGATCTTACCCGTCATTGACTGTCCAGTCCAGCGCACAGGGGAAGGGGGTCTTATTCACTCGGATGTGTCTGAGTGAAAGCCTCCCTCTTTCCAGTAAATTCACTGGCGTTCAGCGGCAGAGGCTGCCGCAGCAGATGACCGAAATACACTGCTGAGGGGAGCACAGGAGAGGTCTGCTGTGGCATGCGGGAATCTCCCTGGCCAGCCGGGAATCCGACCAAACTGGCGCTGCAAAGGCTGCAGACAGCTTCATAGCGCTCGGTGCTCAACCCGCTGTGCCACCAGGGAGGCCCCACAGATCAAATTTTAATAAACACCAGACAACTCATACCAGAGACACAGGTTTCAAAAGCACTTATTCTGCAGAAGCCCTTACCCAGAAATCAGTGCCTCGTTTATACCGGCATATACGTAAATGAAACAAACTCTGAATTTCTTGAAGAAAAATATCTCCAGGCTAATTTTCTGTTCTGGAATTCATGCTTCAGAAACAGTCTGGGAATGTACTGCACACCACAAAGTTTGCATTTTAAGTGAGGGGAATTACGCAGACCTTTTAAGAACCAGCGGGAAGGTCCTACCTGCACAGCCTCTTTAGGTGTCATGAACAGGGTAGAAACCCTGACCGACGTGTTTCTGTAGAAAGCGGTATGAGACGGATGGTTGGCGGATTATTTACAGGAGAGCTGATGGGGAAGGGTGTTAATGATAACCCTGTTTATTGCGGTATAGCAGTATTTTAAGTGCCAGCAAACTGCGTGATGACCAGACATACACCCAGGTGTCGCTTAACAAGAGATGCATTCTGGGAAATGCGTCGTTAGGCAGTTGTAGCATTGTGCAGACATGCTAGTGTATGCCCACAAACCTCAGCCACTCAGCCTGCTGCACCCCTACGCTCTACCGAGGGACCACCTTGTATAAGCAGGTGGTCGTTATCTAGAAGGTTACATGGCACCCGACTGTGTTAGGTGCGTGTGAACTTATATACGATTTGGTACATACACACACGCGCTTGCACACACACACTATGCCTTCAGTTTTGTTATGTTACTGAATTCATTGTCTAACAGGAGATGTGGAAAGGCTACATGTTTTTCTAGAGTCTAATGTAATTGTATTTCTCGGGTGTATTCCCTGTTGAGTACTCATCTCGTAGGGCTGCACACTCTTAAATGTATGTACACAGGCCTGTGAGTGTACGTCTTTTGGCCCCTCCCCTTTGCAGGTAACCATGGCCACCTCCATGTTCTCATGTAGGCATATCACCATACACACCAAACTGCAAACTGCCCATCAGCCAAAGAGTGCCTGGCACCTTTTTTTTTTTAATAAAGTTTTATTGACATGCAGTGATGTTCTCTTGCTTATGCAGTGCCTGCAGCTGCTTCCATGCTGCAGCGAGGACTTGTGGCAAAGACCATGTGGCCTGGGAGCCGATTTGCTACTGAGCCCTTTACAGACATTTGCCGACACTTGCCCTGCTCTTACGATGGTCACGTGCCTGTGGGACTGTTCTTGATTGTGGCCTGTCACGCGGTGTGTGCAACTTGTTCTTTTCTTGCTATGAGGGTCGTGTGGTGTCCCAGAGTGCGGGCGCGCTGCTGTTATTCAGTTGTCCTCCTGTCTTTTATTACTCCCTCCCATCGCCTGTTTGGCCCTGAGAAAGCAGCAGAGTAGCTTCTCTCTTACAGGTCCAGCAGCCAAGTTCCCATGTTGATGCTGCATCTGCCTTTCTGTATTTGTTTTCCACAGGGAGACTAGTAGTGGTCACCCCGAGTCTGGCATGCGAAGTTACCGGGCGCAGGCGTGGTGAGCGCTGGGAATTTCAGTGGACGGACGTGGATGAATGAATGAATGAAAATGAAAGGATGGAACCAGGTGGGGTGGTGGGTGGGCAGTCCTGGCACTCTGCTCTCAGGGCTTCCGTGTGGCCCTCTTGCAGCTTGGCACTGGGGCCCTGGGGCTGGGAGGTTGATGCTCACAGTTCCTTGGGGAGCAGCCAGGAGCCCTGTGAGTTCATAGTGCCCCTGGCAGTTTGGCAGCTTGTACAGACAGAGCATTTAGCGCACTACCCCACAAGTTCCATCTACCCCACAAGTTCCATCTCAGCCTCAGTGCTATATTTTGGGCAGGTCAGTTCCTGGTTGAACGCTGTCCTGTGTTAATAAATTGGGTGGCATTCCTGGACGCCACGGATGCCAGCACCTCCAACCCCAGCTGTGACAACCAAGGTTGTCCCCTGGGCTTCAGACTGTGCTGGTTGAGACCCGCCACCCTTACCCACGAGAGCTATGCTGCCACTATCTCCACCTTAGAGGTGAGGAGATGCGGCCTGCCCTGGTTGCCAGCTAGGGGGGCAGTCCCCGGACCTGACCCGGGCAGCCTGTGTCCTTCACCTGTACCTCATGGTGGCTTTCCTGCCTGAGCTTTGTGTTCAATGGGGTGAAGGTAACAGCAGGAGTCGAGCCAGAAACTGCTGGGTGGGCCTTGTAGAACCACCTACCTGGCCTGCTCTGTATCAGGCCTGTCCCCAGCAGTGGCGGGGGCCCAGATGCTAATCTCCCCGGAGCTCCCAACCCAAAGAGATGCTAAAAGAGAGACGGCTTCAGTCCAGGTTGGGAGGGCCTCTGGCAGAGGGCCAGAGGGTCTAGGAGCGGCTAGGGGGTCTAGGAGCCCAGCGGTGGCTTATTGATCCAGTGCAGGGGGAGGGGACCTGCAGGTTTCCCGCAGGAAGCACCTCCAGTGGCAGCCTGGGCAGGGATGAGAAGCTGGGGATGGGGAGGTGGGGGAGCGCATGCAGACAAGCTGAGGGACAGCCCGTGTGGCCAACTCCACCTTCCCTTTAGAATATTAACGTTTTTGCAGTAAATGAAACAAAGTGTTGGCAAAGCACCCACAAGAATCTCCTGTCCAAAGGGTGCCAGTTTGTTGCTGGCCCTGCCCAGGGAACTGGCTTCAAGCGTGACTGGCTCTCCAGTCGGCTCAGAAACCAGAATATTGCCGCCACCCCCCACCCCCCCAGCACTTTCTACATCACTTACTGAACACCAAGCCCTGGACTTAATGCTCTGCTATTTTCACATGGTAACTCATTTAGTTCACATCTTAGCCCGTTTTAACTGCGAGCCTCACGCCCGATTCAGAAAGCCGACCAGCCCGAATCACCCTTCCCGCGCAGTCCTCCCGACGGCGGTGCTCACAGGGGCGTGGACAGGCCTCAGCGGCTTGCGCCCCGGGACCCTCGGCCTGGCGCCTCCCGAGCTGTGCCTTCGGCTCCGGGCGCCGCCAGCGAAGGCTCCCTGGGCGCGCGCAAGCCCCGCCCGACCCTCCGCGGAACCGGGCGGTCCTGGCCACGCTCTGCCTCTCCCTTCACTCCCTTTGCTCCCCGCGATCCCGACGCCTCTCCACCCGCGCCACAAGCTCTGCCAGAGTCCCACGAGCGCGCGGAGAACCGCCTAACCTGGGGGGGAAATTGCACCCCGCCCCCTGCGCAGGCGCAGACGGGAAACAGGCCGGACACACCGAGCGCCCAGTGGGAGCCGTGGGCTGGTCACGTGACGTCCCGCGAGGGCCGACGGGAGTTGTAGGCGCGGCTTGCCCCAGGTCGTAAGCTCTTTGAGCCCAAGTGCCGCAGAGGCCCCTGGGAGTCGTGGTCCTGTCTGCTTCCGCGTTTTCCCGGGAGCCTGGACTGCCCCGCACCTGTGCCGCCCAGGTGTGTGCTCCCTCAGGCGGCCGGTGGCCTGAGGGTCTCCATTTTTCTCTTCCACGGATTCCGGGGGCCATCCCTGGAGAGGTGCCACGCGTCCTGACTCGTCCGAAGCAGCTGGTTTCCCAACTGACCTGCTCAGTGGCCGGTTCCCACCCCCAACTCGGGTGCGATGCGAGCGCACCCCGCTCTCCCCCGGGTTTTCACCTAGAGCCGGGGCCGATCCGGCCGCAGTGGAGGCCGGAGGCAGCGCCAGAGCCAGCCCAGGGCTCGGGAAAGACTTCCCGAGCAGAGGACCCAGAGCTGCCATCGCCAAATGAAATTTCGGGTTCTCCGCCCTAAACCTGCCTCACAATACTTACCCGCCTCCCCGCCTCCCCGCCTGCTCCCCACCAGGTCGACCCACTGTACTTGCAAATGCCCAAGCCAAAACCTGGGGGTCGGCGGCCGCCCTGTCTCTGTACCCCGGTCTCCGTGCCCCACCCCTCCCGCAAGCAAGCCCCGAGCTCTCCCCGCAGAGGGCGCAGACCCCGTCCCCGCCCCTCCACCTCCGTCTGCTCCGGGCCGCCGCGCTGCACCCCAGGGGTCCTGTTAAAATAGAAAGCAGATCCTTTCCCTCCGGGGCTTGAAACTGCCCGTGACCCCCATTCGGATTCACTCCGCGCTCCTCATCCTGCCGGCCTCCGCCCCGCCCTTCCCGCTCCCCGCTAGGTGAGCACAGCCGGGCCGCGCCTCGGGGCCCTGGCGCGTGCTGGCGACTGGCTGGAGCCTTCTCACCCCCCAGATGCCCGTCTTGACCTTCCGCCTCGGCGTCCAGGATGATTCCGTTCTCTCTCCTCGTGTCTGGAAAATGCCTCGGTTACTTACGTGTCCGTGGGGGATTCCCCTCGGGAGCTTAGTGCCTGAGCCTGCCCGGTTCACCGCGGTGCCCAGTGGCCTAGTGCGTGTTGAGCTCATGGGAAGCCCCGGGGGCTGTTCGTCGGGTGAACGCAAAAAATGAAGGAGCCGATGGAAGCGTCAGGCAGCCCGCGCTACCCTGGCAGCCTCCCTGGAGGCATCGACCCCCAATTCAGAATGCACGTGTCACCCGCCTCTCCGTGTCCCCCCCACCCCGGAGAAGGCCACCCTCTGGGCGGACCCCGCGATGCCGGCCCCGCCCTGCGCCTCCTGCCAGAAGGCCCGCGCCGCGCTCCGCCGCCCGCGCTCGGGCCGCGCGCTGTGCGGCGCCTGCTTCTGCGCCGCCTTCGAGGCCGAGGTGCTGCACACGGTGGAGGCGGGCCGCCTGCTGCCGCGCGGCGCCGTGGTGGCCGTGGGCGCGTCGGGCGGCAAGGACTCCACGGTGCTGGCGCACGTGCTGCGCGAGCTGGCCCCGCGCCTGGGCGTCGCGCTGCGCCTGGTGGCGGTGGACGAGGGCATCGGCGGCTACCGCGACGCGGCGCTCGCGGCCGTGCGGCGCCAGGCGGCGCGCTGGGGGCTCCCGCTCACCGTGGTGGCCTACGCCGACCTCTTCGGGGGCTGGACGATGGACGCCGTGGCCCGCAGCACCGCCGGCTCGGGCCGCAGCCGCGCCTGCTGCACCTTCTGCGGGGTGCTGCGGCGCCGGGCGCTGGAGGAAGGGGCGCGCCTCGTGGGAGCCACGCACATCGTGACGGGTGAGCGCGGGCGCTGAGAGGGGCCGGGCCGGCCCGGGGTGTGGCCTCGGAGACCCCGGGCCTGCGGGAGGGATGGGCCTGCCAACCCCCCCCCACACCCGGGCGCGGTGCTTGTGCCCCCACGGGGCTGGCCAGCCTTGAGTCCTGCCTGCGGCTCCGCGCACGCACTGGCGGGTAGAGGGGGGCGGGGGTGCCCTCCAGGGGCCAGGACAGCGCTCTCGGCCTTTAAAGAAATGACATTCCTGGGTTCCCTTGCCGAGGGGAGGGGGTCCCCCACCAGGGCCCTATAGGCGACTGTTGACGCCTTTCTCCGAGGCGCCTCCTCGCCGGCTCCCCATTCCTCACCGCCACAAACACCAGCTCCGGCAGCCTGGAGAGAAACCACCCCGGGTCCCAGAGTCCCGATGAGCTGGGAGTGGGGCGCTCAGGCCGGAGCCTGGCAGAACAGCGTGGGCAGCGTTTGCCGTTCGGGGAGGCTCGGCAGAAGCCCGGCCTGGGGGTGGGGGCCGGTGGGTGGGGACGAGAAGCCTCCTGAGTGCAGCGGGTCCCTGGGGGGAGGACAAAGAGGGCGCTGGGTGTCTGAGCAGAGGGAAGGGCTCGTGCAAAGGCCCTGGGGACGCCGGGAGCGCCCGGAGAAGCGCCGAGGACGGGACATAGAGTAGGTGGAGGTGGCGACACCCGCCTCCTTACTCCCTGCTCCCCCTACGCGCCCCCAGAGCCTCTGCACCCCCAACTCCCTTGACCGTCTCCTCGAAAGGCCTCTGGCTCGTGCCAGGGGCAGGCGCGCGCTCAGCGAGGGCGACGGCCTCGGCCCGGAGCCCCTGACTCCCGGCGCGGCCCCGGCGGCGCGGGGTGCGGCGCCCGCGGCTCACCGCCCCCCCCGCCCCCCGCAGGCCACAACGCGGACGACATGGCGGAGACGGTGCTCATGAACTTCCTGCGCGGCGACGCGGGCCGGCTGGCGCGCGGCGGGGGCCTGGGCTCGCCGGGCGAGGGGGGCGCCCTGCCGCGCTGCCGCCCGCTGCAGCTGGCCTCGCAGAAGGAGGTGGTGCTGTACGCGCACTTCCGCCGCCTCGACTACTTCTCCGAGGAGTGCGCGTACGCGCCCGAGGCCTTCCGCGGCCACGCGCGCGACCTGCTCAAGCGGCTGGAGGCGGCGCGCCCGTCGGCCGTGCTGGACCTGGTGCACTCGGCCGAGCGCCTGGCGCTGGCCCCCGCCGCGCGGCCCCCGCCCCCCGGCGCCTGCTCCCGCTGCGGGGCGCTGGCCAGCCGCGCGCTCTGCCAGGCCTGCGCGCTCCTGGACGGCCTGAACCGCGGCCGGCCCCGCCTGGCCATCGGCAAGGGCCGCCGGGGGCTGGACGAGGAGGCGCCGCGGGCCCGGGAGCCCGAGGGGGGCCCGGCCCCGGCCTCCTCCCAGGCCGTGCCCACCTTCTAGTGAGCCCAGCGGGCATCTGACCGGGGTGAGGGGCTGCCTGTAAGCGGCACTGCGAATAAACCGGGGTTACCGTTGCCGGGGCTTCCGGGCGAGCTTGGAAGGACGTGGGGCGCTCCCAGCGGTGACCCTGCGGCAGCCGGGGGCTGGACTCGGGGTCCGAGGGAGGAGGCTGGGGGTCCGGGCTCGGGGTCCGAGGGGGCCTTGGGTCCCGTCGCCCACGGGTGTTTCCGAGTCCTCACGCGGCCCTGCCCTGGGCCCCCCCCCCCGTCGTCCCGCCAGCGCGGCAACGGCCCCTCGACCCCCGCGAGCGCGGGCCCCGGCTGGGCGTCTCTGTGCCTGAGGCGCGGCGGCTGTCCGGGGCTCGGAAGGGCCTCGCGTCCGTGCCCCGCCGCATCCCCGCGCCGGCTGCTCCGCCGCGCACCACGCCCGCCCGCTGCGCCCCGTGGGCCGGACGCTCCCGCGGCTGCCGACCGCGCTGGAGTGGCGGCCGGCGTGGGGCTTGTTAGCTCCAGACGGCAGCAGCCAGACTTCTGGCCCCTCATCCCTGTGTCCTCTCTCTCGTCCTGGAGCCCCGTCGGGACGTGGCGCGGCGCGGCCGAGGCGGTCACGCGGGGCGCCGCGGGAGTGGGAGAGCAGCAGGAGCAGCGCGTCCGCTCACCTGAGGGGGGCAGGCGCCTGGCACAAGGTCTCCTGGGCGGGGGAGGGCGAGGCCGAGGAGGGTCTGGCCGCCTCCGGGCGGGCTGTCACCCCCGCGGTGCAGGGGACGGTGGCCCCGCGCCCGGCCCTCGCCGCCCCCGCGCGCGTCGGGCTCCGCCACCAGGCGGCGCTGCGCCCCCGGGCCGGCTCCTGCCGGGCTGCGCTGTCCAAGGTCCCGGCGCGGCGCGTGAGCTCGGGAGACCCGGAGCCGCCGCCTCTCGGAGCGGGGAGCCGGGGAGGGGGGAGTGGACTGGGCTCTTTGCTCCCCTCACCCCCCTGCTGCCCCGAGGGTCTTCCTCTGAACTCGGGGCACCAGCTTGCCGGAGGGGTGGGGAGTCAGCGCGTCTCCCGAGGCTCCAGGCTTCCTTCCAGGCGCCCGGGCCACACTGCAGGTAGAAAGTCACATCTGGCCTCGGGCTGGATGCGGGATAGGTGAGCAGGCGCGCCGGGCCCCAGGGGGCTCCTGTGTGCCAGGCTCAGGGCTGTGCCCTTCTCTGCGTGTCCCTGTTTCATCCTCGCAAGCAGCCTGGGGGGGGCTGGTGGCTTCCCCCCAACCTCCCCGCCCCTGGTCGCTTGCGATGACTCCGCTTCGGGACTGACCCTAGAGGCGCCCTGAGCCAGCTCGCGCCAGCACTCACTGGGGAGCTTTTCTGTCTAGTCACAAAGTCGGGGCGGGAGCAGGAGGGGCCCCGCGGGAAGGGGCTCCAAAGGGAGCAAGGCCTGGGCTGCAAGGACTGTCCCCCAACACTAGCAGACAGCCCCGCCAGTGGCTAGTGAAGAAGAGGACTCCGGTCAGCCTTTGCGCTGACAAAAGGCCCCCCAGTGAATCTGCCCAGGTCCTGGGGGAGCTGCCAGCCCAGCTGGGCCTCCACCGGGAATTAAGATCTGGGCGTGACCTGCCAAGACGGTAGTTTTTAAGAAAATGGCAGGTGGAGAGGCAGGGGGTGGGAAAGACGCGGGGCCGGTGAGGCAGGGATGTGCCCAGCGGACCAGAGAAAAGGCCGGCAGGCGTGGGGTTGTCGCCTGTGGGGCTGCATGTCCCGGGGCCGGAGCCCACAGGTTGGGCCGCCAGTGCTGCCGGGAGCTTGGGGATTTGGACCGAGTTGTTCTGCCAATTCCTCGAGGCCAGGACTTACCCCAAATCCTCGCCTGGTTAGTTTTTTCCATTTTTCTTTTAGGCATACTATTAAAGTGAAGAATCCCCCCACCCCCACCCCACCCCCCACACACACGTTCTTTTATTCCCAAAGATTTTGTTATTCTCAGCTTGAAGCCTGGTACGAATGGTCTTGCCTGCCAGGACCGAAACAAGACAAACCTGCCTGCTCAGACTTGGGGTCCAGACCCCGCCCTTCCCTCAGACCTGGGGGTCCAGGTCCCTGGCCCCTCCCTCAGACCTTGGGGTGCAGACTCCCAGCCCCTCCTCCCCCAGCCCCAGGAGCTCTCCTTCACTTCATACTGTACTGCAGATGGGGGTTGGGCAGTGGCTGCTGGGAACCAGCGTCCTCTCAGAACCCCACGGGAATGGCCCGCTTCTTTGCTGGTGACCACTTTCTAGAGTTTTGGAAATACCTAGCCCGGCTGGGATGCTGTGCTAGGTGTGAAGAGTTAGGCGCGCGTGGAGGGGCGCGCGGCCGCCCTGTTGCGTCAGCCTTGGCCCATCAGAGCGATGCTGTGGGCTTGGAGCCGCCCTCGCGGGCCCCACAGACACTCCCAACCCGCGGGCAATGTCAAGGCTGGATCAGTCCTCAGGGTTCTTGCCGTTCCCCTGGGACACACCTCGGAAATAGGCACAGGGAGCTTTGGGGAAACCAGGTTTATTGCTCCTGTGGCCACACGTGAGGGAGAGAGGGACAGAGCAAGATCCGGGGTTTAGCCTTCTTGGGGCGGCACAGGCGGAGGGCCTGGGGTCTCATGGGCCCGCTGTTCCTCGGGGTAGTACAGCAGGGCAGGAATCAGGGCACAGACGGGAAGTGCGGAGTTGGGGAAGTGGTCAGTTCTCTCTCACCTGGGGCTGGGGAGGAGCGACCGTCCTGGAGGGCCCAGCCTTTTCCTGTGCCCGCACCCTGGAGCGTGTCCCTGGAATAGACAGCAGTCCAGGGCTCCTTGCCAGATACTTAAGCTGCTGCCGGTGCATTTTTGCCTTTGTTTGCTTTAGTGACCACTTGCTTATTAAAATTAGCTAAAACATTTTAAAAGATTTATTTATGCACATATGAACTGGGGTGCAGGCCAGAGGTGTGGGGGGAGGTGAGAGGATTCATCACAGACAGAGCGGGGAACAGAACAGGAGGATCGACTGAAATCCACTGCTGAGGGGAGCAGCTGAGAGACAGGAGAGGTCTGCTGCACCATGGGGGTAGCTCCCTGGCCGGGGATCAAACTCGTGCTGCAGTGGCTGTGGATAGCTTCATAGGTTGCATCTTAACCCTCTTGCGCCATCAGGGAGACCCTAACTAAAAAAAAAAAAAAAAAAAAAAAAAAAAAAAATTTAAGCTTGCTTGCTTTGTTTGTTTGTTTATTTATTTATTTATTTATTTGTACAAGCACTGGGTACAGTCAGAAGCGCGGGAGGGTGAACGAATTCACCAGAGCCAGAGCGGGGAGCAGAGCAGGCAGAAGGACCGAAGTACACTGCTGAGGGGAGCAGCGGGCGCGGCAGGAGAGGTCTGCTGTACCATGTGGGACCCTCGCCGGGGGCCGGGGATTGAACTGGCACTGCCGAGGCTGCAGGCAGCCTCGTAGCCCAGCGCTCAACCGCTGCGTCACCAGGGGAGGCCCCCTAACTAAAAATTTTTTAACTGAGTTCAACTTCAGAGGAGAGTAAAGCTCTTTCTTCAGTGTGCCCCTCCCCCAATCTACCCAAGAACCGAGATTTGAAGGAGAGATGGGGTGAGCCATGGGAAGCAGGGCGGCATGGGAGGAAGAGGGAGCACAGATGGTGAGGGTGGGTAGCCTGGAGCGACCTGGAGGGTTAAGGAAGGATATCCAGGACGGGAGCACCGAAGGCCAAGAGGGAGCACAGATGAGCAGACACACATGAGGCCCTGAGGGACCTCGACACCAGGGCCAGGTGCTTGCTACAGTGCCTCACCCAGGACCGGGGGCCAGGTGTGGGTTTGTGCCAAGGGACCCCAGGGGGCCGTTCACAACAGAGAGAAGGGCTGGAGGCCCCCAGTGGGGAGAGAGCTGAGCTGGAGTGACGACAGCATGGCGAGGGCAGCCGTCCCTGGGAGGCTTCGGAGTTCTGAGAAGGAGAAAGACTCCCCTAGCCGCCGCCTCCGTCCTCATGCCGGCCCCCCAGCCTCAGGACCCGCTGTGTGACGGCACTTCCGCTGGCTGATGCCCATGTGTCCGTTTCTTCAACGCTCTGAGGTGGGATGCGGTATCTGAGTGACAGGCTGGGAAACTGAGGCACAGAGTCACAAGGCGAATTGCTGGGTCACAGCCTGGGGGGAGCCTGGGCTCAGGTCTCTCTGACCCCTAGCTGTCTTCCTTCTGCTCCCCTGGGGTCCCTCAGCCAGTGGTCCGTGTTAATATGGCCCCGGGGATCCTTGTGCTGGGTCCATTCACCCCGAGTTCTTGCTGCCCAGAGACTCCGGGATGCCTGTGGCCGGGACGGGCTTGGGGCTTTGGGGCTTGGTCCTGATCTCTGAGTACTCGGTGGTCGCCGAGGCCTCTGGGCCCTGGGGCTCCTGCGCCTTTGCCCTGTGGAAGCTGAGGGAGGCGTAGTGGATCTCCTGGGGCTCCTCGGCGGCGGGCGCAGGCCCGGAGAGGCTGTCTTGAGCAGGCCCGGAGAGGCTGTCTTGAGCAGGCCCGGAGAGGCTGTCTTGAGCAGGCCCGGAGAGGCTGTCTTGAGCAGGCCCGGAGAGGCTGTCTCGCAAGGACATTTGCCCGGAACTCTGCGCCAGCGGGAGACAGGGAGTCAGGGCAGGAACGGGGCAGGCGTGACCCCCAGGGGAGGCTGGGCTGAGGGGCTTTCTCATTGGTCCCCGCAGACCATAATACCCTCTGACCTGCGCCTTGCTCATTCAGTCAGAACTTGGGCCCCTCGGGGGGCTGAGCCCGCTGCAGTTGATCTCAAACTCTGGGAAGGGGAAGCAGGGAGAGCTGGAGCCGCTGGGAGAGGGCAGAGCCGGCAGCACACCTGGTCCTGGGCCACGTCCCAGATGTGCTCGGAGGGCTGGGGTGCCCCCCCCACAAGTATCTTTCCCCCCAGAAACCAGATCCCGGCCCAGGTTCCATAACACAGACACCAGACGAGAGCAGCACCCAAGTCCTTGACAGAGAGGGCGCCCTGCTGCTGGTGAGCACCCCCTTCCCTCTGCGTCTGCCACGCCCCTGCCCGCGCCCTGCGGAGCCGTGTTTGGAAAGCAACACTAGCTCGGAAAGGAAAGAATTCCAGGTTAGGAAAGATGGGCTCACCCGGTCAGGAAAAAGAAATGAGACAGTGGGGAGAGCTGCCCAGGTGAGGGGCAGCAGGCGGAAGGAAGCGGCGGGTGGTGGGGCCCACCCGGGGAGGGGGTCAAGCATGTGCACGGGGAGCAGCCCGGGAGCGCCGCAGTGGGTCAGATGGATGAGCAGAGAGAGCAGCGCTGCTCCCCCGCAGCGCCTGGGCGCCCTGGCCCCGGCTGGGGTGCTGGGGGGACCGGGCCCTGGAGCTCGGCCCTCACTGGGGTCCTTTCAGAGGGGGCGCAGCAACCCCAGGTAACGACGAAGCGCAGCACATCTTAGACCAACCCAGAGTGACAGGTCCTCGCCCGCGCTGGCCCCTCGCCCAGAGGAGGAAACAGAGAGGGTCCTTCCCCGGCCGAGGTCGCCCAGCTTGGGAGCGAGTGACCCGGGACTCGAACCCCGGGAGTCAGCCGGCGGGGGCCACGCGCTTTACCGTCCTCCCGCCAGCGTGCGGAGGTCCGGGAAGGGAGAGGAAAATAAGGGGAAAACAGCCCCCCCCCTCCTGCCTTGTTCTGGTCAAAGGAGGACCCCGCGGATGGTTTCTGCGCCGAGATCTACCGGGGGTGGGCGCCTAGGCTGCGAGGGCATCACAATGTGTAGGGCAGACAGTCGGCCTGTCGGCCAGTGCATCCCCCAAGGTCCCTGCGGAAGGTCAAGGCGGCTAGGAGGAGTGGGGTGGGGAAGTGGGGTGCTGTTGCCCAGGCTGGGAGGCTGGCGTGTTCATGGGGGTGATGGGCTGCCCCCAATATGCTTAGGTCCTGCTCCTTGCTCCCCTCCGCCCACCCTTGTCACGGGGTGGGAGTGGGGGTGTTGCCTGCGCCCTTGCTTCCGAATGGGGAACAAGGAAAGGACTGCAGCAGGCAGGTGGAGGCTCGTCCTGGGGCCCCAGAGGAGAGCCAGGCCGAGCCGCCAGTCGTGGGAGTCTGGCCTCCTTTTCTGTTTTAATTTAAGCCCCTTCGTTTCATACCCTTACTGGAGTTTTGGAAGCATGGGCTTCCCCTGGCGTGCCGTCTCCAAAGCACCCCGCTGTCTTCCCCCGCAGCCCTCTGTGCTCCCCACCCGCGGGGCCTCTGTTCCTCACATAAGCAACACCAACCACCATTTGTCCTTCTCTGGCTTGGCCCGCGGAGTGTCACCCTCCAGCTCCGTCCACTTGGCCACAAGTGGCAGCTGTTCTGTCTCCATGTTCTCCTTTCGGGGTTAACCACCCAGGGGCATCCCTACCTGAGGCCCCAAAGGTAAAGGGTGGCTGGGGCTGTTTCCTGGCGAGACAGGCAGGGGGATGGACCAGTGTGGTTTTGGGGGAAGGAGCTACTGCATCCTGGGGGCGTCCCCTTTGCTCCCTTGAACTCAGTGAGTCTGGCACAGACCAGGTCTGCCCTGCGCCACCCCTCACCCGGTCACCTCCACCAGGCAGAGCAGGGAAAATCCACGGGGACCATGCGCTCAGTGGGGAAGCCTGGCGGCGCGGACAGACCAGACGAAAACCAGCGGCCCGCAGAACCTCGCTGCTGCCACCCCCCGCGCAAGGGGGAACCACTGAGAATTGAAGCCCGTGGCCCAGTGCGCCCGGAGAGGAAGCGGCGATGTCACCAGCATGGAAACAAAGAAGACATTGTGTGCATCAGAGATTACACAATGCACATAAGAAATAATTTAACTGTGTCACCTATGTGCAAAGGAAGTGTGTCTGTGGCTGCGCAAAAAGCAGAAATACTCTGAAAAACAGAATCTGAAGATCCCCGCAGGTGGGGTTAAGAATAGGATGAACACAACGAAGGCTCTTTCATGAGCTGGAAGGGCGATTTGAAATGTCCCCTTGAAAATGAAAACGTTCAAAAAATGTTTAGCCGTGTATTTTGTGGAAAAGTCCAAAGACTAGAGAATGTCCCAGACGTTCATGATAACCCAGAATAAAGCTCAGATTCTAGAACAAGCATGGACGGCGCCAAAGGTGCAGGGAGGAGAGACGAAAAAATCAAAGCAACCAACCTCTTTTTTACTGGTATCATTCAGAGACACACACTTTTAGGTGAAAAAGGAGAAACTGTGAAATGTTGGAACAAATGAAACCAAGTAAAAGGAAAAATTAAGATCAGAGCGGACCCCGGCATTGGTAATCACAAGAAGTGCAAATAGTGCTTTCAACAGAGGGTGTCAAATTGGAGTTTTAAAAACCTGGTTATGTCCTGCTTACAAAAATCACGGCTAACGCGTAAATGAATATGAGGGGAAAGCGTCTTACCAAGAAATGACAAATCTTCTGGGTCTCACCAAATAGTCTTACGCAGCATCAGAGGGACAGAGAGGAATCAAGGCACAGAAAGGACTTCTTGCCTGAGGGAGAAGACGTGCTCTCTGAGAAGAGACACTGCTCCTCAAATATATGGTTTTAATTTAAAAGTGCATCAGATATAAGGGGCAGTGAAAATTTGGCAAATATCCTAACACAGTTATCAGTAAGCCCCTCTCCAATATTGATATTTCGGGAAAGCCTATTAGTAAAGATCTGGATTAAACAATACAGTGAGCACACTCTTCCATCGGTCTTATATAGAATTAAAAAAATAGAAAATATCCGTGCATCTGAAGCACTCAGGAAATGTTTACAAAAGCCCACCACATGCCAGGCCACATGTCAAGTCTCAACAAATTTAAAAAATCAGTGTCATAAAAACTGTGTATTGTAAACAAAATGCCATTCAGTTAGAATTTAATGATGAAAAGATGTCTAAAAGAATCACTACACAGCAGGGCTTCCCTGGTGGCCTAGGGGTTAAGTCTCTGTTGCCTGAGTTCGATCCCCAGAGACCTCTCCTGTCTCGCCTGCTGCTCCTCTCAGCAGTGTATTTCAGTGGATCCGCCTGTTCTGGCTCCCCACTCTGTCTGCTGAATCATTTCATCCCCTGCACCTCTGGCCTGCAACCCAGTTCTTCTACACACACATACAAAAAAAAAAATCCCCATACATATGGAGTTATTTTTCATTCCAAATAACTTAAGATTCCAAAAAGAAATCATGGAGGAGCTTGGAAAACACTTAAAACTGAATGGTATTAAAATGACACATGCCAGGGCCTCCCCTGGTAGCGCAGCGGTTGAGCACTGGGCTGCAAAGCTGCCCGCAGCCTCTGCAGCGCCGGTTCGATCCGCATTCACCGGCGAGGGTCCCACATGGCGCGCAGACCTCTCCTGCCGCCCGCTGCTCCCCTCAGCAGTGTATTTCATCAGTCTGCCTGTTCTGTTCCCTGCTCTGGCTCTGGTGAATTCTCTCACCCTCCCGGGCTTCTGACTGTACCCAGTGTTTGTATAAATAAGTAAATAAATCTTAAAAAAAAAAAAAAAAGACACACGCCAAATTAAAATGGTGTTTTGAGACAAATATTTCCTTAAATACTTTTTTGATGGGGGCGGGGTGTTATGAGTGTATAAGCTAAGTTTTAAAGAAAGCTTCCAAAGCTTTGGAAAGTTAGTAAAAGAACACCAGACTAAGTCGTAGCGAGTAGAAGGAAGGTGATAAGAAAATGAGAGTAAAAATAAAAGAGAAAGTAAAAATAACAGAAAATAAACCACCCCCAGAGCTGGCTTTTTGAAATAATCATAAGAAACGCAATCAGGTAAAGAAAAAAAGAGAAGTCACAAATGACCACTGTCTGGAATGTAGAAGAGGAAGTATTTCTTCCTCTTCCTCTTCTTCCAGTGTAAAAGTGAGAGCTTTGGTCAAAACACTATAAAACTTCAGTGAAACTAGTAAATTCCTCGAAAAAAAAAAAGAAGAAAAAGCTCACAAAAGAACATATAAAATGACTGAATTCGACAAGAGGCACATCCAGACCAGACCCAGGTGGTTCTACAAGCGACACCGATGAATCACTGAAGAAGCAGGTCTTTCTGATTTTATCCCCTTTCTGCCAAGTAATGGAAAAAGCGGGAGTACCCCCAATTCCTCATGATCACCTCAAAACCCAAACAAGCCAAAGGCAGGGGGAGAAAGAAAGAGCAGGCCTGTGAGGACGTGTTCCCAGGGCGAGCAGGCCCGCCCAAGGATCCACCTCGCACCCTGACACGTCGCCCTCGGCACCCTGCACTGGCGGCCTTGTCGCCCTGGTGTGTCGCCCTGGCGTGTCGCCCTGGCGTGTCGCCCTGACACATCTACTCTCAGGGCCGCGGTGCCACCAACACTCAGTTGTTTCTCAGAGAAGCTAAAGTAGCTTCATATTAGGAAATCACCATGGTAACAGATTAGGAGGAAAAATCCCTCTCTGTGGTTACACTTGGGAAAGTTAACAGAAATTGATGATTAAAGAAGTTAGTCATGTAGTGAGAGAAAGAAGCGTCCTTGTCTTGGTGAAGGTTTTCTAGACCAGAAGTCAAAAAACAACAACAAAACCAACTTAAATGGCAGGACATTGAGTACATTGCCTCCTAAGCCAGGAGTAACAGAGACTGCGCAGAGGTAGCAGACACTGTGAGGTAAGAGAGACTGGGCAGGGGTAACAGAGACTGCCCATGGTCACCAGTGGCCAGGATGGGGGCCTGAGAACGGGGGAGTCCTGCAGAACAAAGGGCGCACCCCAAGGAGTGGAAGGAAGTGCCTTGGCAGGATGGGGAGAAATAAGCTGTTACTAATTTCGCAGAGGCGCAAGCATCTCATCTGAAATACCCGAAGATTCCAGGTGCCGCCCAAGTCCAGTCTGGTATTTTTTGAATGGAACGCAAACCTCTTAAAAATGCTCTGACAGGACCTCCCTGGTGGCACAGCGGGTTGAGCGCCGTGCTGTGAAGCTGTCCGCAGCCTCTGCGGCATAGGTTCGATTCCTGGCCGGCCAGGGAGCATTCCACATGGCGCGGCAGACCTCCCCTGCCTCGCCCGCTGCTCCCCTCAGCAGTGTATTGCAGTCAGTGCCTGTTCTGTTCCCCGCTCTGTCTCTGGTGGATCCTCTCACCCCCGCATCTCTGGCCCGTACCCCAGCTCTTGTATGCATAAATAAATCTTTTTAAAAATAAATAAAAATTGTAAAAATAAATAAAAATAAATTTAAAAAGGTTTTCCATAGAAATCAACAGTGGTTGCGCCTTCGCCTCATGCTCAGCAGGCGGAGGAAAGTCAGGAAACCTGTCTGTAGATGAGCAGAGGAGCAGCACCTCTGTGAAGTCTTTCCCTGCCACAGGGGAACATGTTTCCTAGAAACCATACTGGAGTACCCTTCTACCTGCAGGTCAGGAGAGACCTAGGGGCGCTCAAGAGGAAGGGGAAGTCGGGGCCGCGTTGCGCCACGAGGCAGAAGGCAGTTCCCCGAAGCCGCTTTGCGAAAGGAGAGGCTGCCCGCCAGGAGGGGGACAGGAGTGGGGGGTGAGGGGCTTACAACTCACAACCCAAGAGACTGCAAAAATGTGGACAGACAAGGGGTTCAACAGGACGGCAGCAACACTCGACAGGAAAACGGCTGCGGGAGGGGGGCCAAGCATTCCGGAGCCCCCATTCTCGCAGATAGCCGAGGGGCCTCCGGGCAGCGCCCCCAACAGAGGCGGGAACCCTGAGAGCCGGGAGGGCTGTGGGCCCCAGAACCTCACTCCAAAATGGGAGGGTGGAGGGGACCCCTCAATGCGAACCCCACACCCGGGACCCGGTCATTAAACCCTTAAGGATGCTAAGCAATGGCAGCACCAGCGAGGGGCCCCGGTGCTGACGGATCTGCGCTCAGTGGCGGATGACAGACGTGGACGTGGCTTTGCGCCGAGCCCCACTGTGTAGCCCCCTCACCCCGTGGGCCGGGCGGCAGGCGTAGGTCGTCGCCACCCACCAAAGTGTTGGCTTGGCCAGCGGGTCCGCAGTGGCTCATGTTAGAATAAAAAGGCGCAGTGAGAGGGGTGGCTGCAGCTCTGCCAGCGGCGTGGCCACCACCGAGGCGCCTTGGGTGACTCCACTGTAACACGGGCCTGGCGCATAACCCGGGACGGGGGAGCGCGGGTGGCGCCTCTGTCCCCCAGGACCACAGAGAAGAGAGGGCGGAAGCGGGACGGGCAGCGAGGCCAGCACCCCATTCCGGGCCGGGGTGGACAGGGGGCTGCGGGCTGTGGAGGCCGAGGCCTGCGGTTGACCAGGGCCAGGACGTCTTTAGACGGGACTGGGGGGTCGGGCAAGACGGGCTGTTGGCAGGGGGGAGGGAGGGGCGTCGGGTGGCCGCCTCTGGTGCACAGGTCCCAGGAATAGGGGGAGCCTGTGTGGCGAGGGAGCCGCCCTGGGCTGGACCGCGGGGCGAGGCCGGAGGCCGAGTGCCCATCGGGCGACCCCAAGGACTTCAGATATCCGTGCAAGAGACGGCCTCGAGTCTGAGCAGCGCGCGTGTCCACCCCGGGGCCCAGGACTCCCCGCGGCCAGGGCTGGGGCGGGAGGGCTTCCGGGAGGGGGGGGGAGAGCAGGTGTCTGCCTCACGGCCGGGAGGCGCGGGTTTGGGAAAGGCCCAGCGTGGCCTCTTCCGGCCCCGGCGTGAGGAAGCCCAGGCCACTCACCCAGGCCACAGTGCCCATGACGGGCTCCTCGTCGTCCCGGGCCGCCAGCCTCCCTCGGTCCTTGCGGGCCTTGGCTCTGCGGGAGGAGAGCAGCGCTGCGGCCAGGCGGCCCCGCGGCCGGGGGGCAGAGCCCAGGCCTGAGACCCGACGGGGACGTCCCGACGCGCACGTGAGTCACCCCGACAGCCCCGCAGCCTGAGATGCGCTGCCCTCGCTCGAGACCCCCGCCCTGGGGGGGCGGTGATGGCCGACAGGGACGGCCCCTCTCTCTGCCCCCGCGCCTTGAGGCCCAGACGCGGGCCAGCCGGCAGGGCTCATTCAGGAAGCGGGAGGAGGCTGAGGCGGCTGCGGCGGGCCCGGGCCTGGGCACGCGGGGAAGTGGCGGGTTCGGCCGCGAGGCCCCGAGGAGACCCTTGTAAGCACGGCCCCGGGGAGACACAGGGGGCCAGGGTTGGGGGCCGGATGGCGATGGAGCGCCGTGTTCCCGCTGCGTGTCGGGTCCATGCAAACCTTCTGGGGGACACAACTGGGGAGACCGTGGAGGCCAGTGCAGGGCCCACCCCCAGCGAGTGGAGCCCCTCAGGCCCGCGGCTCCCACCTCAGGCCCGGCGCGGCGCCGCTTACATGCCGTAGACGAGGAGGCACAGGCCCAGCGACAGCACCGCCATGGCCCCGGCGCCGCCCAGCGCTCCCTGGACCAGCGCCGCCCAGGGGGCCTCCGGCTTCCCTGCAGAGAGAGGGGGGCCGGCTCCCTCAGCCCTCCCGCCCCTCTGGACCCGCCCCAGGGCTTGTTCAGGCCCCAGCTGAGTCCCCCCCTCCTCCCAGACTCTCCCCTCCTCCCAAAGCCTCCTCGGTTCTGTATAACTTTCTCCTGAACCCCACAGTGGCCCCCACCTGGCAGCAGCAGGAGGACGGCCCTCGAGGTCCCTTGATCATTCCTGGCCTCGCAGCTGAGTGTGAGGTCAGAGCTGAGCCCCCCGCTGAGGCGCAGGGAGCTGTTGGCCCAGAGCCCCGAGGGGCTGAAGGTGACCTCCACGGAGGTGTTGCTGCTGTTCCCCTCCAGCAGCCGCTCCCCCAGCCGCCAGCGCAGGGAGGGGGCCGGCCAGGCTCGGGCGGAGCAGCGGCAGAGCAGACCCTCATCCTCCAGGGAGCAGGAGGGGTCCAGCAGCTGCGGGGGGTCTGTGAGGAAGTGGGGCCCGTCAGGGGTGCCTTCCCTCCCCAGGACCCAGGGGTCCCCACCCCCGCTCACATTGCACACGCAGGCTCAGGGAGACGTGCTGGGAGCCCAGGGGGTGCTGGGCCAGGCAGGTGAGCTCCCCTTCTTCTGGGGTCCCTGTGGGAGGAAGCTCCAGGGTTGTAGAATTGGAGATGCGGGTGGTGTTCAGACACGGGGACCCCCGGAACCAGCTCAGGCTAGCAGGGGGGTTGCTGGGGGCCTCACAGACCAGGCGCAGGGACTGGCACTTCGGGATGGGAATGGAGGAGGCGTTTTCCAGGATCCTAAAGGCTTCGGGGGAGAAATGGGAGCGGGGTAGGGAGAGAGAGGGAGAAGGTGCTTCCTGACACACACACACCACCCCCGCCGGAAGCAGCACTGGGCCCCGCAACCAGGTGTCAATCCAGACACCAGCCTCCCCTGGGCCCGGTGGGGCGGCCCGCGTGAGCGAGCTCGGGCCTACCTGAGCCGTTGCCGTGGGCGATGCTGACGGTGACCGTCTGCGGGGCGTCTGGGCAGAGAGGGGGCACTCAGGCCTCAGGAGGCTCTGCGGCTCCCGGAGGTGGGGGAGCAGGGTGGGGGTGGCTGTCCTGAGGCCCAGCCCCCTGGAACCCCCAAGTCAGCCCCTTGCACTCAGTGTCTGCTCCGGGCCCTCACACACGCACGGGCACACCCCCACCCGCCCGCGAGCCCACGCACAGGCCACGTCGAGCCGGACGGTCCTCTCTGTGCCGGCTCCCGGCCCAGGCAGCGCCACCCGGCAGGTGAGGAGGGAGCCGTGGTCCTGGGGCTCGGGGTGAGGGTGAGCTCTGGGGACCGGAGTTTGTTGGGGTCCATCGAGGCGAGAGCCTCCCCCGCCCAGGAGAAGCTGAGACTGTGCCCCTCGCAGAGTCCCGGCAGGTGGCAGGCCAGCTTCACGGGGCGCCCCGCGCGCAGGGGTTCCCCAAAGTGGATGTCGGGTTCCTCTGTCAGTGCTGAACAGGGAAGGGGACCCAGAAGGTGACCCCTGGGAGCCGGTGCCCAGCCCCAGTCCCCAGATCCTGCTCTGGCCCCCGCCCCAGCCAGACCCAGGGTCAGCTGCTGTCCCGTAGGTCCCCCCTCCTGAGAGCCCGGGGCTGGCCTGCCTGTCACTTCCAGGTGCAGCTTGCTGTTCTTGTAGCTGTATGGGTTCCCTGCTCTGAACACGCGCAGGTAGTAGGCGCCCGCGTCTGTCCTCCTGGCGTGTCTGATGCTCAGGGAGCAGTTGTTGGCGCCGGGGTCCCCGGGGAGGAGGAACCGGCCCCTGGTCTCCGCCCTCACTGCTCTGGTTCGGTGGTTGGTGGCCACAGGGGCATCCCATTCACTGTCCCCAGCTCGGAACCAGTGCATGTAGGTTGTCTCCGCGGGGCTCGCCCGCTGCCACGAGTGCCGGAAGGAGCAGGGCAGGAAGATGCACAGCCCCTCCTGCGTCCTCACGTTCCTCTGCATTTGGACCTCGAACCCTGAGCTCTCCTGGGGGGATCCTGCGGGGACACAGAGTCTCAGCTACTGCTCCACCCCCCACCCGCCCCCCCTCACCCCACTCACCCCCCGGCAGCAGGGGCAGCAGCAGCAGCAGCAGCTCCGAGGGCAGGAGCCCCATGTCTGCCTGTGCCAGGGCCCAGCACGCGGAAGCCGCTGTCAGGAGGGAAGCGCCCTGGAGGGGTGGGGCCGGCAACCCCACAGGAAGCCTCGGTGGGAGCCCCAGCCCTGGAGGAAGGGGAACTTGGACGCCTGTGTGGCCCAAGCGGGGCAGGGGCTGAGATCCCCTGCCCATTGCCTGCTCCCGAACCCCAGCTCCCCGGCCTTCTCACACACTCACCCCCCATAGGTGCTGCCTCTCTCAGCAGGGGCTGCCAGGGAGGCCCGGGCACCACTGTCCGCCCACCCGCCCCACACTGTCGCCCTGAGGCGGGAGAAACCCTGGAGGCTGCAGACAGGAAGCGGCCCTGGGGCCATGAGGGGACATTTCCCCATCACCTGCGCCCAGAGCGGGGTCCCCCGGGGGCGCTGCCCCCTCAGGGACCCGCCCTCCCTAGAGAAGGCCCTGAAAGTTCCACTGGGGGAGAAGCCACCAGCAGGGTCGGGAGGTCACAGAGCTGAGGGAGAGCCCAGACTGGGTGTGCCGACTTGGGGGGCAGCGGGGTGCAGAGGAAGCTACCGCGGTGTTGCCCTGAGCCTCGGCCCTGCAGGAGACAGAGCGCAGAATGTTCCAGGCCCCGTGACAGTGGGCAGGCGACTCAGCCCCGGGAACAGGCAGCTGGAGGGAGCTGGGCGCCCTGGGTGGGGAGGGGCCTGTCTGCGGGAGCACCCCGAGCTGAGAGGACCGTCCCTCCCGCTGGCCCCAGTGAGGGTGTTCTGGGAAACACTGCTGTGTGCGCCGGAGGCGGCCGAGGCTGCTTTCCTCGTGGGGGTGCTGTCAGCTGCAGGGACAGGCAGGGCTGGCCTGGGGCTCCACAGCTCTGCGCTGGGGGCGGCCTGGGCGTCTCTGTCATGGCTGAGCATGGGACGCGCAGGTCCCTGCTGTGCCTCTGCCTGGGGGGCTCGGCCGTGGGCTCCGGGGATCCACCCGCCCTGATGACACCCGGGGCCCAGCTCGGCGTGAAGTACGAGGGCGGGACAGGGGTGAGGTCCGCAGCCTGGGGCCCAGCGTGGGGGGTCTGGGGGACGGGAGGCTGTGCGGGCCCTTGGGACTCAGCGGGGGGCGGGGAGAGGAGCTGGGGCTGCGAGGCTGCTCCGGGACGTGGCTCCTGCTCGGGCAGGGCTGGGGCCTGTTTCTTGCTCCCGAGCCAAAGCCGGGAGGAAGGTTCTCCCCGGAGAAGACACGCGCAGACGCCGCGTTAGCCCCTGGGCCCGGCAGCGCCAGGGCTGTGGTGATGTCGTCTTGGAGGCGCTGGGTTTGGAGCGCGGGGTCCGTGGGGTCCCGCTGGGAAAGGGGTCCCCCGAGCCCCCCGTTTCTGCGGCTCGCGGGGCGTTCCCAGGCGAGTTTCCCAGCAGGCAGAGACTTCAGTTATATTTCAAGAGCAGGTTTAGGGCCTCCCCGGTGGCGCAGGTGGTTGAGCGCAGCCCTGTGGAGCTGTCCGCAGCCTCTGCAGCGCGGGTTTGATCCCCGCAGGCCCGGGAGCTACCCACGTGGCGTGCAGACCCCTCCTGTCTCCCCGCTGCTCCCTCAGCAGTGTACTTCGTCAGTCTGCCTGTTGTGCTCCCCGCTCTGTCTCTGGTGGATCCTCTCACCCTCCCGCGCCTCTGGCCTGTGCCCTGGTTCTTGTGTAAATAAATAAATCTTCTTGCATGAATGAATGAATGAATGAATGAATGAATGAATAAGGGGCAGGTGTGTTAGGGGCAGGGCCAGAAGAGTGACAGACACTCGCGGAGACCCCAGCGGGCGGGAGGAGCGGCCCGGAAGGGACAGGGTCGCCGAGAGGCCGGCGAGGTCGCCGCGGGCGGCCTGAGGAGAGCGGCCTCCGCGGAGGGTCCGTGAGGAGCAGCCCCGGCAGGGGCAGGGCCCGGGCAGGCAGGCGGCCGTTGCCCTGGGGGAGAGCGGGGGTGATGAGGCCCGGCACGGGCACGGGGGGCGGAGGGGCGGCGGCCCGAGGCCGGCGGAGACGGCAGGACACGGTCCTCTCCTCCCTGGGGGTCGCGCCCCCGTGGAGAGGCTGCTGGGGGCTGATGTCGGCGACGGGGACGCTGGAAAGGGACCCGATCCCGGGGGGACTCGTCTTCATGTCTGTCCCCTCGGCCGTGCCCGCCCTGCCGCCCTGAGCCCGCGGGGCCTCCAGCCTTGAGGTCGGGCGCTGGCACCTGAGGGTCTTGGTGTCTCCAGCCGGGTTAGTGTCACGTGGGTCCCCTCGACCCACCTCCCGCGTGAGGGGGTTCTGGTCCTGGGCACCTCCTTTCCCGTTGTTCCACGCTTGTCCTCCATCCAGTGGCATCAAGTGCATTGACCGTGGTGCTGCCCCCAGGCTCTCCCCAACTCCTGTTCCATGAGTGAAGCCGCCCCCAGTAATACACCCCCGAATCCTCCTCCCCAGCCCCGCCCCGCGGGCGCCCTCTGGGCTCTGCTCCGACTCCGGCTCCCCCTGGGGGCCGCAGCCTCTGCCTGCTCTGGCCCAGACCTGGTCCCAGGGCTCCCGGCCCAGCGTTGCTGTCTCCCCAGTCCCCGCAGGTCGTCGCATCCTCTCCCCGCGCGGGCTCCTCCTGCCTCTGGGGCTCGGGTCCCCGACAGCAGGACGCGCGACGTGGACAGAAGGACACGTGCAGCCCGGGGCCGCGCAGCGAGGCCGCCTCGCAGACGGCGGGGCCGGAGATGGCGGCCCGGAGGGGCTGGAGTCTCTGTCCCCACGTTCCTGCGGTGGAGCCGGCCGGGCAGGCGGGCCCTGCGCGCGGGTCTGGCCCGGCTGTGAACGCGGGTGTGCGCCGCCCCCGGGGACGCTGTTCCGCCTGCGCGCGCGCACCCCAGTCATGCGGGTCGCGCCGTGTCCCCCCGCGTGGGTTCTGAGCACCTGCCGCTGTTCTGCACCCCAGCCCCACCGACCCGCAGGGCTGAGTGCCCCCCACAGTCATGTTGGGGGGCCTGCAGGTGACCCCCTGAGTAGGAGACACCCGAGGAAAGGGGAGCCCTGAGCGGACGCCACCGACAGCCACGTCCGCGGATGGGCTGGAGACACACTCAGGTGCTGTCCAGGCAGCCCGGGACGGGAGGGTGAGGCTCAGGGTCACGGGAGGGTGAGGCTCTCAGGGTGGCGGATGGGTGAGCAGAGCAAGGGATGGAGCCTGAGGAGCAGGGGATGGAGGGAGGAGCAGGGGATGGAGGGAGGAGCCAGGGATGGAGGGAGGAGCAGGAGATGGAGGGAGGAGCAGGGGATGGAGGGAGGAGCAGGGATGGAGGGAGGAGCAGGAGATGGAGGGAGGAGCAGGGGATGGAGGGAGGAGCAGGGGATGGAGGGAGGAGCAGGGGATGGAGGGAGGAGCAGGGGATGGAGGGAGGAGCAGGGGATGGAGGGAGGAGCAGGGGATGGAGGGAGGAGCAGGGATGGCTGGCAGGAGCTGAGGACCAGCACGGGTGTTCGGGCAGGTGGGGAGCACAGCGGCCCGGGGCGTGTCCGTGGAGAGGGGGTTCGTCAGGACCTGTGGCCTCTTATGCTTTGGTTTATTGGAGCTTGCTGTGGGGAGTCCCCCCCCCAGGACCAGCCCGTCCCCGGAGAGAACAGAGGAGGAGGCTCTCGCCTGCACAGCCCTCAGCCCTGCCCGCCTGCCCTCTCCCTCTGTCACCCTCACCCCCCACCGCCCCTCTCCCCCGCCTCCCCCACCCCAGTGCACCCGAGGCCACGCGGACCCCGAGCCGGTGCGGGGAGCAGCTGGACCCTGAAACGCTCCGTTTTCCGGGCGTGCCTTTCCCCGTCACAGCTCTGACCTAAGCTCCCCCCGTCAGCTTCTGCCCTCCAGCAACCTGGAGCTCCCGAGGAGGGCGTGGAGTGACCCCCGCCTTCTCGGGGACCCCAAGTCGAGATGTGTCCTCCGTGACTTCACCCGGGAGGTCGTCCAGTCACCCCCATGAACGATGTCCGGGGTGCACAGGCAGGGTTGAGCTGGAAGGTTTTGGGGAGAAGCTGGCACGGCGCCCCCTCTTCACTCTGCGTTCCAGGTCTGCAGCTCCGTTCTGTGTGCACTGGGGGTGGGCGAGGCTCCACTGGGCCCCAGGGCGTCACCCTCAGGTGCCCCCGCACCTGCCGAGACAGCGCGGGGTGAGCGTCGCCACCGCAGCTCCAGGTGGGGGCAGGGGAGCCCCCCGGGCCGTCAGCCAGTGAGCGGGCTCCGGAGCGCCAGGCGGGCACCTGGTGTAGTAGAGCCAGGTGAGGCCGTAGGTGAGGAGGAAGCCGGCCCCCATGAGGGCCCCGCGGATCAGGGTGAGCACCAGCGGCCAGGAGCCTCGCGGCTCCTCAGGGTCACAGCTGCAGTCACCGGGGCTCCCTGCGGGAGGGGGGGACGCTGAGTCCAGGCCGGGGGCCTCTCCCGCCCCGCCATGGCCCCTGCCCAGCCCCGGAGCGTTCTGCACAGAGAGGCTGAAGGAGACGTGGTGGGAGCCCAGGGGGTGCTGGGCCAGGCAGGTGAGCACCCCTCCGGCCCCGGCCCCCACGCGGGGCAGCTCCAGGACGCCCGGGGCTGAGGATCCCGAGGGGCTCAGGGCTCTCCCCTCCCGGAACCAGCTCAGGCTGGCAGGGGGGTTGCTGGGGGCCTCACAGACCAGGTGCAGGGACTGGCCCTCCGGGACGGGCACGGAGGAGGCGTTTTGCGGGTTCCTGAAGGCTTTGGGGTAGAAAAGGGAGTGGGGGGCGGCCGAGGGAAGGGGGGTGCGACACACACTGCCTGGAGGCATCTCTGGGTCCTGCCCTCCACATCAGGCCAGACACCCGCCTCCCACTGTGCCGGGGCCCCTGCAAGCGAGCGAGCTCGGGCCTACCTGAGCCGTTGCCGTGGGCGATGCTGACGGTGACCGTCTGCGGGGCGTCTGGGCAGAGAGGGGGCACTCAGGCCTCAGGGGGCTCAGCAGCTCCCAGAGGTGGGGGAGCAGGGTGGGGGTGGCTGTCCTGAGGCCCAGCCCCCCTGGAACCCCCCAGGTCAGCCCCTTGCACTCAGTGTCTGCTCCGGGCCCTCACACACGCACGGGCACACCCCCACCCGCCCGCGAGCCCACGCACAGGCCACGTCGAGCCGGACGGTCCTCTCTGTGCCGGCTCCCGGCCCAGGCGGCGCCACCCGGCAGGTGAGGAGGGAGCCGTGGTCCTGGGGCCTCGGGGTGAGGGTGAGCTCTGGGGACCGGAGTTTGTTGAGGTCCATCGAGGCGAGAGCCTCCCCCGCCCAGGAGAAGCTGAGACTGTGCCCCTTGCAGAGTCCCGGCAGGCGGCAGGCCAGCTTCGCGGGGCGCCCCGCGCGCAGGGGCTCCCCAAAGTGGATGTCGGGTTTCTGTGTCAGCGCTGAGCAGGGAAGGGGACCCAGAAGGTGACCCCTGGGAGCCGGTGCCCGGCCCCAGTCCCCAGATCCTGCTCTGGCCCCCGCCCCAGCCGAGACCCAGGGTCAGCTGCCCTCCTGTATGGTCCCCCCCCGCCGAGAGCCCGGGGGTCTTGGGGTCCTACCTGTCACATCCAGTTGCAGCTTTGTTTTTCTGAAGCTGTATGTGTCATGTCCTGTCTCCACCTGCAGGTAGTAGGTGCCCGCGTCTGCCCTCCTGGCGGGTCTGATGCTCAGGGAGCAGTTGTTGGCGCCGGGGTCCCCGGGCAGGAGGAATCGATCCCTGGTCTCCGCCCTCACTGGTCTCCATCTGTCGCTTGTTGCCACAGGAGCATCGTATTCTCTGTCCCCGTCCCGGAACCAGTAGATGTGGGGTGTAGGGAATCCCCTGGGGTTCCGGGGGAAGGAGAAGGAGCAGGACACAGAGACACAGTCCCCCTCCTGCACCCGCACGAAGCTCTGCACTCGAAGCTCGAACCCCGGGGTCTCCTGGGGGGGCCCTGGGGGGACACGAGGCTCAGCTGCTGCTCCAGCCCCCACCCAGACCCCCCACCCCACTCACCCCCCTCTCCCCGTAGCAGGGGCAGCAGCAGCAGCAGGGCCGAGGGCAGGAGCCCCATGTCTGCCTGCTCCAGGGCCCAGCACGCAGGAGCCACTGTCAGGGGGGCGGGCCCAGGAGGGCCGAGACCTGGCAGCCCCACTAAGGGGAACTGGACCCTGGGCTGCCCCAGTGGGTGGGGCTGATGGTCGCCTGCCCCTCGGCCATCACGTGTCCCAGGCTGAGTGTGGCACCCCCAGAGGGGCCGAGGCTGCAGCGTGAATGCGGAAGGGATGACCGTCCAGACGTGGGCAGCCCCACGGCACCCGGTGCTCAAGCGCTTGTTCTGACCCCCAACTCTGGTGGGGGCGGACGGGGGCTCCGAGGCCGCTGGCCAGCACGTTCTGAGTCGCGGAGGGGGTGGGCTGGCGTGGGGGAGCCAGACACGCGAAGGCATGAGCGGTGGGGGGTTGGGCTCTGGCAGCCGGGACGGGGTTGGCAGGTTGCCTGGAGGTGCCTAGAGGGGTCTCGGGTCCACGGCCCCGCCCGGGACAGAAGGCGCCTGTGACAGCCACGCCCTGCAGGCTGCGGCGGGGTCAGTGCTGAGGCCCCCCGGGCTGCGGGGAGCGCAAATCAACAGGACAGGAAAGAAACCGGGGCAACCAAAGCAATACGGGGTCCCTGGAGGGGAGACACTGGCTAGGGCGAGGCGGGGGGAGACCCTGGCCTGGGGGGGATCTCGCAGAGCTGGCAGCGCCCCCTCCCCACACAGCCCAGTATCCACTGTCCCTACCTGTGACGGGGCCCTGGGGGCGGCTGGGGGCGGTCACGGGCGGAGCATCTAGGAAGGGGAGACATGGTGAGAGGCAGGGGCGCGCGCCCTTTGCCCTGGGGCTCCCTAAATGGAGGAGCCAGGGCTTTGGGCCTCCCCCCAGCCTCCTCTGGGAAGGTCCCCAGACAGGACAGTCCCGTGGCTCCCCCGGCCCCCCCGGCGACCCCACGCACAGGCCACGGCGAGCAGGACGGTCCTCTCTGTGCCGGCTCCCGGCCCAGGCAGCGCCACCCGGCAGGTGAGGAGGGAGCCGTGGTCCTGGGGCCTCGGGGTGAGGGTGAGCTCTGGGGACCGGAGTTTGTTGGGGTCCATCGAGGCGAGAGCCTCCCCCGCCCAGGAGAAGCTGAGACTGTGCCCCTCGCAGAGTCCCGGCAGGCGGCAGGCCAGCTTCGCGGGGCGCCCCACGCGCAGGGGCTCCCCCAAGTGGATGTCGGGTCTCTGTGTCAGCGCTGAGCAGGGAAGGGGACCCAGAAGGTGACCCGGGGGAGCCAGTGCCCGGCCCGAGTCCCCCCATCCTGCTCTGGCCCCCGCCCCAGGGTCGGTTCCCATCGTCCTACGGAGTCGCCCCTCCCGAGTCCTCCCCGCGACCCAGGACCTACCTGTCACCCACAGGGTCAGCTTCTTGTCCACGTAGCTGTATTTCACGGGCCCTCTCTCCACGCGCAGGTAGTAGGCGCCCGCGTCTGTCCTCCTGGCGTGTCTGATGCTCAGGGAGCAGTGGTTGGCGCCGGGGTCCCCGGGCAGGAGGAACCGGCCCCTGGTCTCCGCCCTCACTGGTCTGGTTCTGTCGCTTGTGGCCACAGGAGCCTTATTTTCCCTGTCCCCCTCTCGGAACCAGTAGATGTGGGGTGTAGGGGAGCTCCCGGGGGTCCCGGGCAAGGAGAAGGAGCAGGACACGGAGACGCACAGCCCCTCCTGCACCTGCACGGAGCTCTGCACTCGAAGCGCGAACCCTGCGTTCTCCTGGGGGGACCCTGGGGGGCCACGGGTCTCAGCTGCTGCTCCAGCCCCCACCCGGCCCCCCCAGCCCCACTCACCCCCCCGCAGCAGGGGCAGCAGCAGCAGCAGGGCCGAGGGCAGGAGCCCCATGTCTGCCTGCGCCAGGGCCCAGCACGCAGGAGCCGCTGTCAGGGGGGACGGGCCGGATCATGGGGTGGGGCTGGAGAAAGGGGAACTTGGACACCACAGGGTGGGGGTGAGGAATCCCTGAGTCTCACTGCTTGTCCCCTCTGGGTGGCGATGGGGAGGCTGGGTGGGGTGCAGGCACCCCTCACGTTACACCTTCGAGGGCTGCTTAGGATGGAAAGAGCTCCCTGCACGGGGCGGCGGCGGGGGGTGGAGGGGGAGTGGGGCTCAGGGGCTGCCGCTAGCCAGTCCAAGCCGCGGTCCTTAGGCTGACTGCTGGGAAGCTGAGTCCCCCGAGCTGTGGCGCTGTGGTCGTCCCTGCCACACCCCTGCTTCCCCTTCTCGCTCAGGAAGGGTGCAGACTACTGCGGGCAGAGACGAGCTGTTTTGCCACTTCTGCCCACCCCCCCCCACTTTTTCTTTTTCTCTCTTGGTAGCTTTCTGCTTGCCCGGACCTGGGGTCCCTCCACCCACCCAGCTGCTCACGCCCACACACTCTTGTCTGCACAGACAGGGGTGCACCCCTGCCAGCTAATGGGCAGCAGAGCCTCTGGGCCCTCTGGGGATCACAGACTGGATTCCTCATCCCGCGCTGGCAGCTGTGACGCGCAAAGGCCAGGCTGGACTCGGCAGCCATGGTCTGCCCTCTGTCCAGGGGGAGGGCCGTCTCAGGGACAGATGCCACACGGTCAGGACTTGGCCCACAGGTGTCTGAGAGCCCCACGGGAGTCTTGAGGCCCTATACCCCATGAGGTGGGCCCTGTTTCCGTCGCCCTGCTCACCTCAGGCAGGTCAGCGTGGATGCCCAGAGCAGGCCTGCAGGCCAGCGTGTGGAGTGCAGGAACCCAGACCCCTCACCTCCTGTCTGTCCAGCTTTTCCCGAGCTACCTGGCCTCTCCGTGCTGCCATCTGCTCTTCTGAAAACTGGAAAAGCTGCATGAGGATTAAGTGGGTTCACATGTCACGAATGCTGAGGACGTGACTGGTCCTGAGGATTCGCTCATTCAGCCCACGCGTCGTGGACGCACTGCGCCAGGCTCTGCTGGGGCTGGAGAAGCAGCAGAGGATAAGCTCTGGAGATGGGAAAAGCCGTCCAAAGACCCTGGTCACCAAACATTCAATAAGGAAGTTGAAAGCCCTCGTCTCTTAGAAAATGATACGTTCTAAACGTATAGGGTTCCTGGGCCCAATTCCTGTAGGGCGTTTGGAGGCTTCTGCACACACACAAGCCATTCTTTTTCTTTTCTTTTTTTTTTTAAAGTGGACTTGGCAGCAGTTTCCTTTTTTTTTTTTTTTTTTTTTTTTTAAGATTTATTTATTTATTTATGCAAGCACTGGGTACAGTCAGAAGCACAGGAGGGTGAGAGAATTCACCAGAGCCAGATCGGGAGCAGAGCAGGCAGAAGGACAGAAGTACACTGCTGAGGGGAGCAGCGGGTGGCAGGAGAGGTCTGCGCGCCATGTGGGACCCTCCCTGGAGGCCGGGGATCGAACCGGCGCTGCAGAGGCTGCGGGCAGCTTCACAGCCCAGTACTCAACCGCTGCACCACCAGGGGAGACCCCACACAAGCAATTCTGGGTCACCAGCCGTGAGTCTGAGGCTTCCCCACAATTCTTCTCAGTTCTGACACTTACCTACCTGCAGACAAGCCTCAGGGTCTTCCGGTCAAGGGCTCAGTTTCCCGAAACCACCCTCCGCACCCAGGATGCCTGGTGCATGCCCAGACCAATATCTGTGCTTCAGGCCAGCTGGCTGCAAACCAGAGGGTCCTGGGCCCCTGATGAGCTTGGATTCATTTGCTGAAAGAGTTCACAGGACCCAGGAGCATGTACACACTAACACAGTAGTCCCGCATAAAGGGGCTTCTGTCTTGGTGGAGATTGGGGTCCAGCAAGGCGCCCAGGGAAGGGCTGTGGTTCCCCAACCTGCAAGTTCTCTCTCGTCCATCCCTTTTGGACTTTTGTAGAGACTTTGATCCGTGGTTGTGATTGATTCACTCATTGGCTGATCACCATTGAGTCATCCTTGATTTGCCATCTGTTAGCCTCTCTTTCCTGCCCACAGGTCTGGGGGTGGGAGCTCAATGTGGGTGGTGGGGTGTGAGGGGCATTTTATTTTTTTTAAAGATTTATTTTTCATGCATACAAGAGCTGGGGTGTAGGCCAGAGGTGCGGGGGGTGAGAGGATTCACCAGAGACAGAGTGGGGAGCAGAGCAAGTGGATCCACTTAAATCCGCTGCTGAGGGGAGCAGCAGGGAGACAGGAGAGGTCTGCTGCACCATGTGGGTCAGCTCCCTGGCCGGGGATTGAACTCTGCTGCGGTGGCTGCGGATAGTTTAATAGTGCTGAGACTAACCCCTTGCGCCACCAGGGAGACCTTGAGGGGCATTTTATACGTGTCAGCCGATGGTGTCAAACCTACGAGTCTGGAGTTTAAGAAAGAGGTCTGGCCAGGCACACGAGCTTGCAGCGTCCCCGTACAGGTGGTGTCTAGACGCAGGGCCCGGATGAGGTCACAAAGGGCATGAGTTTAAGTGGCAAAGAGACAAGACACCTCCCGGGCTTCCATAAGCTGGATGTCAGACCTAGCCTCCTGCTCAGCATCCAAGGGGGTAGCATCGTAAATCTTAAAACCATGAAAGGGTGCAAGAGAGAAGAATTTCAAAGCAAAATCTAGAAAAGGATGAGGGCCTAGAGGGGGAGCAGAGCACCAGGCTGGGGGGCGTGGCAAGCCTGAATCTGGGGCTCATGGACCTGAGAGTTAAAGTCAGACGGTAAGTCAGGCAGGGGAGGAGACTTTGGGGCTCTGTGGTCACACATATCTTCCTGGGGAAGGGCCAGCTGGTGTGGGAACCCAGACGAAATCTGTGAGTCGGAAGGAAGTTGCACCCAGAAGCCACATCATGTAAACATAAGGACTCTGATTGACAGTAAAGGAAGTTTCCCCTTGTGAAAGTCAAATACACAGAAACCCTATTAAAAAAAAAAAAAAGAGGGCCTCCTTGGTGGCGCAGGGGTTAAGTATCAGCACTGTGAAGCTATCGGCAGCCACTGCAGCGCAAGTTCTATCCCCTGCCAGGGAGCTACCCACGTGGTGCAGCAGACCTTTCCTGACTCACCCACTGCTCCCCTCAGCGGTGTATTTCAGTCATTCTGCCTGTTCTTCACCCCACTCTGTCTCTGGTGAATACTCTCACCTCCCGCCTCTCTGGCCTGTACCCCAACTCTTGTATGCATAAATAAATAAATCTTTTTTAAAAATTGCATAGCGGGAGACTTCTGGTTTCAGCTCAAGTACACCAAGAGTGTAGACATGGTCGCTCTCGTTCTTACAAGAAGGAAGACCGAAAAAACTGGGCCACTAGAAACTGGAAAAGGGGACACTCTGTGTCCCCTTGAGTGTCCAGAAAGAACCAGCCCTGCTGACATCTTGACTTAGCCCAGGTGGGGCTGGTTTTAGACATGTGTGCTCCCCCCTGGAGCAACAAGGTGTGTGGTCCTGTTACAACCACCTTAGGAAGTTAATATGCGAGGTTATAGAATGCTGCCCTAGGCCACACCTGCAAATTTCCAGTGGGTTGCAGCTGGATGAGCTCCAGACACAGACTTTACCAGAGAACGCTATTGGGGAAGTCCTCAGTGCAACGGGAGAAATGCCAGAGGAATTTGAAGCATTTTACCGCCAGAGAAGCCACCCAACACAGCCTGGCTCCTGCTCACATGAACATAAAGTACACAAAAGATGTGTTTCCTCAGTTCCTGTCCTGCCATATGTCATGTCTGGATTGCAATTAAAATGGTAGAAGATAAAACAAAGCAAGAGAAAATAACCACAAGCCACAGGGAAGCTATATGGGGACCCTATACTTTCTGCTGAATTTTGCTGTGACTCAAAAACTGCTGTAAAAAAAAAAAAAAGTCTATTAAAGCACAACCACCCCAGGGCCTCCCTGGTGGCCTAGGAATTAAGTCTCAGGCTATCACCCCCCCTTGGCCTGAGTTCGATCCCCGGCCAGGGAGCTACCCACATGACGCAGCAGACCTCTCCTGTCTCCCTGCTGCTCCCTTCAGCAGTGGATTTCAGTAGATCCCCCTGTTCTGCTCCCCACTCTGTCTCTGGTGAGTCCTCTCACCCACCCCCCACACACACCTCTGGCCTACACCCCAGTTCTTCTATGCATAAAAAAAAAAAATCTTAAAAAAAAAAACTTAAAAAAAAAACCTCCACCCCAGTGAGAAGAACAAGACAAACCTCCGAACCAGAGTTGGACAGGACACAGGTGGTGAAATGACCACAGAAGCAATTTAAAGCGTCTCTGACGCCAATGCTGAGGCCCTAAAGGAAGAAGTGATGACATTACGAACAGATGGCATGAGCATCTGGAAACACTGCCAGGGAAATGGACAGTTCTACGAATCAAAAGGAATGTGCCAGAAATAACCATCACTAATGGAAAGACAGGCTGCCTGGTTTGTCTGATGACAGGAAAACCCTCCCTGCCATGCTGAGCTGGATGTGAGAGGGAAACTTCAGAACTTGAGGTCCTGGTTTGGGGAAGGATTGACTTAAATATTGCACGTGCTAATTCATGAAGATACATCTCTTGGGGCACAGGCGGTTGAGCGCAGCGCTGTGAAGCTGTCTGCAGCCTCTGCAGTGCAGGTTCGATCCCTGCCGGCCACAGAGATACCCACATGGTACAGCAGACCTCTCCTGACTTGCCCGCTGCTCCCCTCAGCAGTGTGTTTCAGTCAGTCTGCCTGTTCTGTTCCCTGCTCGGTCTCTAGAAATAAATAAATCTTTAAAAAAAAAAGATACATCTCTTATTTCGGGCTTCTTTAATTTCTCCCAGTAATACTTTTCTAGTTTATAGCACAGAGGTCTTGAAATTTTTCTCTCAGTTTTACTTTTAGGTATGTGGTGTTTTGGGGATATCCTTTTATATGACACTGTCTTATTATT